TTTGCAGAAATTTTGGGGTTGTCTTCAGCGGAAAAACGTGCTGTAGTTACCAACAGAAATAACCACACAATTGTCTTCTGCGAAGCCATACTTGCCTTTAGTTAAAGTAACTGTCAAGCTGTAGTGACTATGATTCAGTTAATAAAGGATTGTTGACAGGGCTCGTCCCATCTTTCAATTAGAGGTAATGGTTGGGGTTCAATTGAAATAACAAAAATGTTTTCCGGGTCGACCTTTTTAGACAAACATTTAGTCGTGGGGGAAAAAGCGGCAGGAAATGGAGAATGCTAAAAGGAATTTGGCTTGTCTCGTTAAAGAAAGAATTAACGCGAATCATAGTTTTAAAAAGTGGAATACTTTGCAAACGGGTTGACCCTCCTGGTTTGCTGTCATGCAGTCAGTAATACCTAGAAATAGATGGCGTTCATCTACAAAATCATATCGAAGTTGCCCTCTAAGAAGGACGGCAAAGTAACTCGGAAATGAACAAACACGACATATCTGTTGTTAAGGAAATTATGAACTCTATCAACTTAAAATGTGTTATTTTTCAAATAACACATTTTAAGTTGATCCTCGAGTTAATTCAGGTTTTTGTTTGCTTAAGGGCTGAGCTTTAATTTACTCAGATCAATAGAATTCTAAAATCTTTCGGTTGCTCAAGTTTTGTTCTCCTATTTTATTTACACAATTAACGTACACTGCACTTAACCCATTTATCAAACCCATTTATCCGTTCATCAGTACTCTCCAGCTCAACAAAAAACTGGAGTGTTAACATCAGTTTTTCAGCCTCAAACATCTGCCATTTTCTCATGAGAAGCCTACTGGTAGCTGAATGTTTGTCTATTTGTGTGATGTTTGTTTTGCGTGGCGCGCAGAATATAGCTGCATTGGTTACTGCGCCGGATTGTGTTGTGCGGAGGTCGAGGGTTCGTGCCCTGGCCGGACCAATACTCATGGTATTAAAAATAACTGAGGAGAGTTTGGTACCTTTCTGTGACAAGAAATGGATAGATATTTTAGTCCTCTCGGATAAGGAGGAATAAACGTAGGCCCCATCTCCTGGAGGGTAAGGGGTAGGAGACGTTAATTTCACACGAACGAGACTACTGTGTGGTGGATGTCCTTCCCTGGGGAGGATGGGTGGGTGTTAGCCCTGAAAATCCCCTATGGGGAATGGCCAATTAACCTAAAGTATGTATGTATGTATGTATGTATGTATGTATGTATGTATGTATGTATGTATGTGTGTATGTATGGTAGTATTTTCCTGAAAGGTCAAACTATCCTTTTGACGAAACGATTAAGCGGTTTTACCGCGTGACAAAGTTCTATCCTATAGGAGACATCAGCAGTTGGCGACAGGTTTTCACTCATATTCCACTTAGGCGGGTGGTTCGTGATGCCTCAATCAGATATCTCCTGCCTTCAAGATGAGTGGTATGAATTTTGACACAAAGACGAATAATTTCAAGGCCATTTTAGTCGTAAAAACGTCAGATTTGTGTTTTGGATGTTATGGTTCTCAGGTTTGAAAACATGAAATTCAACTTTCGTGCAGGTGGGGTAAATTTCTGGGGGGTATTAAAACATAATTTGGTCTTTTGAAATGAGTTGATAATGTAGATTGACTACAGTAGAGATTTTCCAAAGCTGACGTTTCAAGCGTGAGTTTTTCAGCGGACTTCTACTTCGAGAGCCCCATCTTAGTCCATTTACCAGTAAATTCGAACACACCGTATATATATATATTTTTTTTTT